TTCCGGAAAAATCCCGGGAGAAATTCCGAAATACGCCCGGATTAAGTTCCAAAGATCGTCAAATTCGATCGAAAAACCATCAAATTTGATCAAATAATCGGTCAAACTGACAAAAAACCTCGAAATCTCGAAACATCTCTGAAAGAGCGGAGTATTTTGGTAATTTCGAAGATTTTAGGAGAGGATCCGATGATTTGAAAGTTCCGGAATTCGAAATTAATGCTGAGGAATGGCAGCACTGACAAAAATACACGCTGAACTGTTTATATGATTTATTTTACATTTGAATAATGACTAGGGTAGATGTTAATATCTTGCTCAGGGGTTGATTTGCGGAGTTTTCCGATGCGTATATAGCTATTCATCAATCATTAGAGTCAAACGTGCATACTGCATGTTCATAACTTGTTAGGAGTTAATTTTTGAAATCAGCTGTATGATTTGTATTTTATGTGACATTTTAAGGAGGAAAAATACATACAATGTAGTGATTTCATCCGAGCTGAGCTTATCCTAGGCCCCTTCGTTACCTCTCTCCCCGTGTAAAGATTTCGACACAAGTACCTTAAGTTCCGCCAAGATCGACCACCGTCATCAGATATTTTCCAAGATGAATGAACATAATTTAACTCAAATACTTCAAAACTGACTCAACGAATTCTTCTATTTTTTTTCTTACAAAAAAATGAGATTGTAAGTTGTATTCTAAGTTGCCTTATATTCAAAGTAAATGCAAGAGAAATGTTCAGTTAAAAATGCCCAACAATTTCCTATCACGAAATACCATCGCGGACAAAATTTCGAGGCTCAGACTGTATTTTTGCGAGTGAGGGTGTGTGTGCGTGTGCGGCAGGTGTTCTTTTGACGACCCACGGAATACTGCATCTGATCAATGAGTGCGAGAGAGGAATACGATAAAACAAATTATTGACCAATCCAAGTTAAGCCTTACTCCTTGTCCACAGTATAAATGGACGACCTACATTTAGCAATTTGGAACTGTAAATTCTAGCCTGGTTTAAAAACAACGCATGTGCAATTAGTTCCCCTGTGCACATAAATGTTTCTCCATAAGAGCCAGATTTCTAGTTCCAAATTGCAAAATGCAGTCCGAATGTAAATTGCGCCTGAAAAGTATGCAATGGTGAGAAGTAATTACGTTCCTTGGACCGGGATCCGCCATTTGGACTGCATTTTGCAATTTGGAACTATAAATTCTGTCCCGGTTTAAAAACAACATATCGACGGTGAAACTACCAAACCACGTATCTCGTTTGCGGTGTTTAAAAATCTACGCTCACATTTTATTTTTTTGAAGTAGACCAAATCAATATCATTCCTTGAAATTTTCACGGAATTTTCTCCGCACAAAGAAGAAAAATCACAGAAATTTTCAAGACTAGATGTTAACTAGTTTTTCATTTAAAAAATAAAGTATGACAGGAAGTCTGCGACGTCGCAAACCGAGATACGTGGTTTGGTAGTTTCACCGTCGATATGTGCCATTAGTTTTCCCATGCAAATAAGTGTTTTTTCAGAAGAGCCAGGATTTATAGTTCCAAATTGCAAAATGCAGTCCATTTTATCAAACGTTCACATTCTTTTTCAACGGACAATTTTACCACCGCTCAAAATTTTCTCAGAAGCAAACTCCCAATTTCCTCCATGTCTCCGAACGATCCGTAATAAAATAACGCAGCAAACCTGAACCTACCACGCTTGTTGCTGCGGAATTGCGATCGTATACTTATATTTTCTCTCTCCTCTTCAAGGAGGAAAAACCTCGAAATAAACATCTACATGCGCTACTCTTTGAACTGCGGTTTCCGTGACGCAGCGCTTGTCAGCGTTTCTTTGACGGTTCCAACATTGATGCCTATTCATGCACCGAGCCTCTTTACCCCAGGCAATCTTCGCCATTTTCGTGCGTTGAATTGGCAACAATGCGAAGCGGTCGCGCAATTTAACGTGTCAAGCGGTGCAAGTTGTACCCGCGCAATCGGCGGAAAAGCAGGACCAAGAATATTCTCGGGGAAACTTAATTTGAACACCGCTCAGCGAAAGAAAGTTATCCACCAAAAGAATTTCGGAAAAACGCGTGTCTCTTGAGGAATTATGATAGTTCATGTGTTGCTTTTCGAAATTCTATCGGTAGATAGGACGTTTCTACTCGATGAAATTCATTTCGGGGAAAACTAAATCGGAGAGTAAAGATCAAAGCAAAGAAGGTAAATACTGTCGAGATACGGCTCAATTGGACGTATTTTTGCCAAACGGAACTATAAACATTAAGACATGAGCCCTGAGACCCGTAGGAATATACGCGTAACAGGGCTCACGTTGTGATGCACATAGTTCCGTTTCGCAGTAATACGTCCAATTGAACGCGTTAATACGAAACAAGTATTCCTGCGTCGAGAATTTAAGGAAGAACTGACGAGTTCACGTTTCATGTAAAAATCAAATTGAGTAGAGTGTTGGAAATTCCAAATCGTCAAATTCAATCTCGCGTTCAAAATTCAGTCTAAAACTGAAGTCTCACACCGAAAAAAAAGTGAAGTTGATTTATCATTCTGGATGTGAAAAAAGTGCGCGAGAACTTATAAAATGCTGAAATACCCGCCACAGCAGAACTTACATTAGCAATCCCCAGATGTAAAAGTAACTGCTAAGGCGGGTAACTCATCATTTCATAAGTTCTCGCACACTTTTTTCACATCCAGAATGTTAAATCAATTTCACTTTTTTCGGTGCATTATAGAGAGTAAACACTCATCCGAGCACAAATTTTCTCGCGGGGAAAGGTGCAGTTTTCTTATTTTTCATAAAAAATTTTTAGAATGCACGTTGACGAAATCACCAACACTTAACTCGAGACGACACCTGCGTCGAACCGCTATCATTTTTGTTAAAAATCAAATGTTTACGATGTTTCTCTCATACGCGTATTTTTTATCTGGATCGATTCAAATCAACAAAAAATCATGATGCAATATGATTGAGAGTAGAGATAGATACATCCGTAATCCCGAAAATCCATCAGACCGTCATCGATGCTTCCGCAAATATAGTTAGGGCCCAAAAGGGCGGCCAACCTATGATTTCAAATTTGTTATAACATGAAAAAGTATATGTATGTCGCAGGAATATAGTCAAATCAGGCATTTTATGAAATGCCTAGGCAAATAGTCAAATATTCTTACTCAGACTGAAATTCTGATTATTTTTCTGACTGTGGACACAATAGTTCTTTGATCGTGTGGAAAAAAATTCTGTATGCAGACTTGCTTCATGCGAACATAAATACGTTTTTTCTGGTCCTTAAATGCAAGTTTATCTCGATGCAGCATTTCATAAAATGAAAAGTTTTTACAATTTAGACGGTTGAAGAAACATGAGGAGCGATTTTGAAGGAGAAACACAATAATAGTTTGTACATTGACGGATTTTTAGTCTCAAAATATTGAAAGATGGGAAGGTCTATGTGAAAACATAAAAAAACCTCGAAAGCTCTAAAAATGTGGGTACCTGCCAAGCCATTTAAAAAAAATCCTGATTTGACTATTTATCTACGATATGTACATTTGAATGTGACTATGCATGATGTTTAACGTATTCCATCAGTTTTGATTCGCGAAGCCTTCTTTGATCATGTTCTACATCAATTTTTGAAACAAGTATTCTTTTCTACTCGCTACCAGTCTGACCACTCTTTCGAATGTGATGGTTTGCAACGACCCTGTTTTACTTGATTATCGATATTTCCCCATTTGAAGCTATGGGAAAAGATTGATTATTAAGGTGTTCGTTGCGGACACCCTATTTATCGATCCTTTACAATTGGTCAATCAATGGCCAATCAATGGTAGAACAATCGGTATAACGCAGGGCACGCCACGCCGTTACTATAGTGCTATCCTAATGTAGGTACTCTGGATTACACAGCTCCCAGGAATCTTGCGAAATTTTGCGTATTCAAAAAAGTTAAAACGAATAAGTCTACATTAAGTGTAGCTGCCCCTAAATTTAGAACATCAGCTGATTGCGGCTGGGNGGGGGGGGGGTTGGACTGGCTACTCGTTCCTTGTACACGCAAGCAGTAGTTGCCGGAGCTCGGTTTTCTTCCCACTTTCAACCCCCCCCCCAAAAAAAATAAATAAATAAATAAAATTAGAACATTGATCCAATGAATCATGAAAGGTTTGATGAAAATGTGTTACTGAGAATATGAAATCAATACGGTTCACCTCCAAAACTTCCTATTAATATGATAAACTAGTTTTTGGAACTTTCACTCAGCTCTTTTATGATTTATTTCTCTGAAGCAGCGTTCGGAGAAGAACTCATTTCATGTACCGTGCGATAAACTTTACGAATGAAATAAACTTTTCCTAAGAAGTGATCGATGTACAGCAGTTAAAAATAGCGACCGTCTCTGCAATTATGCCGCAGGGGGGGATTAAAAAAAAATACAAGTGGTACGAGGTATTCAATTTTACAGAAGTTAAAAACAAAGGGGTAAAATTTTCCACGTCACATAGTGGATCGAGTCAAGTAGAGATGTCAGACATGAAATTTTTGACTGAACCTGCAAATTTTGAGGTTGTATTAGCCAAACTTCAACTTTTTAGGGGTGCTTCTGGAAGAAAATTTCACTAGAAAAACAATGGAACCATTTTTAAAACCGCTAAGTTTTGTATGAACGGAGTTATATGCTTTTAATGTCTCCTGCTCGTATGTATGCAATGTAAGTATGCTGTTAAAAAGTCGACGATGATGGTGTCAACATACCCAAAATATGATCGTGGATTCATCGTTTGTTCATGTCGCGCTCAAGCAGTAAACAGTCAAAATGGGCCCTGAGCATGGTGTCAACGATCACGGTGTCAATAAACAGAAAACACCTTCCGCACAATAATGTCTCCAGGAGAGATTGGATCAAATAAGGTAAAGTTGGGTGAGGTTCAATAAAAACATGACATGACAAATTTTGTACTTACGATCATGAGAATTTGGTTCTGCTCCTGGTAAACACTGGCACAACCAACGCACGGGACGAAGAGGATGATGAAACCGATGAGGATGAGGATGTACAATCCATAGTTGAAACTCCAGATTTCCAGAATGTCGATCCATTCTTGGAATTCTGTGTCCGTTCGAAGATACAAGCAGAATGCCAGGAGAGTGATTCCCAGAATCTGAAACACACAACGAACAAAGTGGAATAAAACGTAAGAGGCAAATGAAAGATTGGAAATTTCAGTGAAATATTTCATGGAATTTCACGAGGCTGTGAAATATTTCATATTTTTCAGGGGCTAGGGTATATGCAATCCGCACTCAAACACACAAAAATAGAAGGAAGTCACGATTTTTACATTTCACGAAACATGAAAAGGAGCCGATATCTTTCAATATCTCTCATAAATTTCTGAAATTTTATGATTTATTTTACGAGAAATTTCAATTTTTTATTTTTCATGAAATTTTGCCACTCTTACAACGAATAATCCTCATTCCGTATCTTCGCTTATATATGACATAAATAGAACACCTCGCAAAATCAAATTAGTGTAGAACCTTTTTCTTACCGATTTTCCAAAATTGTTGATGTTTTTACAGTACGTCCGTTCGAGCAACCACTCATCGTCAAGTGTTTAAAAACATTTTTTTAAAAAACGAAAAAAAAAAAAATTTAACCACCTGACGATAAGTGGCTGCTCGAAACGGCCGTAGTGTAAAAACATCAAAAATTTTGGAAAATTGGTAAGAAAAAGGTTTTACACTAATTTGATTAATACGACCGATAAAGTTAACAAAAGAAGTGATACTACACAAGATGTTTTCTCTCCGAAATTACACGTCAAAAAAGAACCGGGCACCGAAAAGTCTGAAAATCAACTCCTGAACAAGATAAAAGTATTTTCTATTAACACTGGTTAAGTGTAAAAAAAATGACGTCATTTGAGCAATCTAACTTCCATTTCATCGATGTTGAACATATTTGCAAATATCTCGTTCAACAGTTGATTACCAAAATCCCCGTCGGACGATTCGTTCGTTTTCTACATAAGGTTTCGAAGAGATTTCACGTGACGTTAATTTCTAGTTCAGACCCTCCATTGAAGTTGCTCTCAACTCACGCAGAAATTCCTCTCACAATGCACTCAATATCAGTTGTGAGGCGCAAATGATCGATTATCTATATATTTCCCTATTTGAAGCTGTAGTAAAGAACCGATTATTAAGGTTTACATCGCGAACACACTGTTAATCGATATTTTTCCATAGGTTTAAACGGCAGATCGATCGATTTATTGCAAAGCACGCTCAATATGGAATCTGTCGTGTGCATCCTCTCAAAACAGAGTGCCGGTTGGGGCGGGATCACTTATTACCGCGTCGAGGATGTTCGGGGCTTGTTAACTATTCTCATGAAGTTCTGCTTTGGGAGGAAACCTCAGGCTACAAGTCAAATATCGCGATCAAAACCCTCGTCACAGGCTCCGGGACAATATTCCCCGCGCGGTTGCCAAATTTCCCAGCGACTCGCCTCCTCATCCGCCGGATTTGTGCCAGGCCCCCTTGACGACGAGCCGGCAACCGTGGAAATAGTTGAGCGACATCGATTCGCGAAACCGCAACTTCCCCGTCGTATTCTGTTTAAAGTTTTCGGGAGTGTTTGCCAAGCCAATTCTATGTCCCCGGATATGCGAATTTTCGTCGTCGGATATGATAAGGTTTAAGAATTCGCTATGGTTGCCGATGCCCAGTGGAAGCTTTTTAAAGCACACATTTAAAATTTTCCATGTCGGCCTCCTATGGTGTGGTGGTTAGCGCAAGCTCTATGATCGGGAGGTCCCGAGTTCGATTCCCGGCCAGGCGACCCGAGTTTGATGGTCTCAAATAATGGTGGACTGGTTGTAGGGACGGAGGGGAGACAGGACTGAAGAGCAAGGATTGAGGGCTGTTTGGATTGAATTTTGCAAAAAGGAACCAGGAGAAGATTTTGCAACTTCTTTTGTCTTAGAAAGAAAATATGATTATCCATTAATAGTTGATATTTCACTCGCTAAAAACTGTAAATTTAAGACAAAAATTACCATGTAAATTTCATATTTTTCATGAGTTCAGTAATTCCTATTGCAAAAGATGAAGTTGCGCAATCTTAGCATCATTGTAATTCTTCTGGTTTTTTTTTTTGCAAAATGCAATCCATTTGAAATAGTAAGGAAAGGTGTTACTTTGTGTTACTTTTTTGGTTAATACGGGAAGTGAAACACAAAATAACCCTTGCCTTCGGTTGACAATTTCAAGAGAAAATGCTAGCTGATTTTTTAGAAGAAATTTAATGAAAAACGAGTGGTGAATACCAACATCGCAATCGGAGGAATGCATTTCCTAGGTCTCTTCATTGTTTTCTGCGCTAAATCCACCTCAACTTGCACCGAAATCAACACAAAATTGGTGTTGCTTTGTATTTCACTTCTTACATTAACCAAAAGCAAGACAAGGACACAAACATTTTTATCAGTGTAAGCGGATGATGAAGTCAGGAGTGTACTTTAGACATTTCACGCACTCATTGTAATTTTTGAGTCTTTTTCTATGAGATATAACTCTTATCGACTGTGTAAGTCGGCAATCAAAAAACTCGATTCGCGACGTCCCAGACTTAATGTCATACTTTATTTTTTAAACGGAAAACTACTTAACGGCAATTCTTTAAAACTGCCGTGATATTTCTTCTCTGTGCGAAGAAAATTCTGCAAAAACTTCAGGGAATGATGTAAATTTGTTCTCCTTTGAAAAAATAACATAGAGGCATAGATTTTCACACACCGCAAACGAGATATGTGATTGCGGACTTACGCCGTCGTTTTTGGCGCGTATACGTAGTATACCGCCTTTGCGATCGTTTCGAACCCTGCTCGATACAATAACCGAGTCCCTTAGTTCCTTACCGAAAAGTGACTACCGCGAACTTCTGAGATTTTCCAAAGCGTGTAAAAAGTTTATTTATCCGTCAATAATTATGATTTAAAGTTGTTTCTCATTCTGGGG